TAAGGTTGAGGTAAGGTTGTGGTAAGCTTACAAGGTAAGGCAAGTTATATTCAAATAATAATATTAATAATAAATAAATATTCAATAAAAAAATTTTTCTTTTGCCTTATTCTATTTTGGGAACCTATCATTTCGCAGAAAGTTTTGAAAATAAATTTGGGAGGAGTAGGATTCGAACCCGGGACCGAAGTATATACCTAACAACCTAACCAACTGAGCTAAACGGGGAACTGACAATGAGAAAAGTAATCTTGCTTTTAAGGAGTTGATTATCTTCTTGGTTCCACTTTAAAAGTAAGATTACTTTTCTCATTGTCAGTTCCCCGTTTAGCTCAGTTGGTTAGGTTGTTAGGTATATACTTCGGTCCCGGGTTCGAATCCTACTCCTCCCAAATTTGTTTTCAAAACTTTCTGCGAAATGATAGGTTCCCAAAATAGAATAAGGCAAAAGAAAAATTTTTTTATTGAATATTTATTTATTATTAATATTATTATTTGAATATAACTTGCCTTACCTTGTAAGCTTACCACAACCTTACCTCAACCTTACAACTTAATAATAACCTTACCACAGCCTTTACTCATAAGCTTACCTCGACCTTACCGTGTAAGCTTACCTCGACCCTACCATGTAAGCTTACCTCGACCCTACCATGTAAGCTTACTGTAAGGCGGACATTTTTGGTTTACTGTAAGTCTACTATGGGCTTACGATGTTACCTTACAAACCTTACATGTAAGCCTGCTGTAGGCCTGGTGTAAGATGTTGTGCTGTGTGGGTATGTATATCTATGTACCACGTGGCCTGTAATATTTCGCTTTTCCGCTAGGGCTGCTAATATCGACTTATTCTAACGTCTTTACACTTTATCCTGAAAGTTAGGGCAGGATTTCCCGAAACGGCCAATAGAGTGGGTGCTCCTTATACTACTTCGTGTTTTTTATCAAAGAAAAGGTGAAATATATTAATTTTGAACGGAAACATTGGTGAAAAATATTTATTATTTGATCAAAAATATTTGTGAAAAAATTAATTTTTTCATTAAAAATATTGCAAAAAATAATAAATTATTTTATTACAAATATTGTTGTAAATAATTAATATCTTATTTTAACCAATATTATTGATTACAATATTACTTTTTTTGATAACATATAATACATCTTTTTGACCAATATTTCAAGTAAGAGTTTTGCTTTTTATAAATCGATTCAGAAAAATTTAAAGAAAGAAAAAAGATGAGTGCTGCCACCTACCTTCTAAAAATCTCGGCTATATTGATATTATCGACAAATTTTTTTTTTATGCATTTTAGGTTATGTTTATAAGCTGTCACTATTTAATTATCAAATTGCACATTGTCTTTGATTTTCTGTTATCTTCATTTTCAAATTAAATAGTGAAATAGTCTCCGCAATTACACTATTACGAAAATAACTGAAAATAAATCGTTTATTTTTCAGTCGATTCATTTCGGCCATGATTAATATAAGTTGACTAAATTTTTTGCATCAAAAAAAAAGACCGCTTCGTGTATCATTTGTAAAAATGATTTACAAAACGCTCTCATTTTGATATAACTTATGTGCATTAAAACGTTGCAATAGAAAATGATACAACCAACTTTTCTGTGTTCCGGATTGTCAATATAGAACCAGCAATTCTATTTGTTTTTGGGACAAAAAAAATTGTTAAAATGGGATTGTTATTAAAACTATTTGGATTGTTCGATAAATAAACAGAATTGTTTGATGAACAAAGAAAATTGTTATTAGAACAGTTGAAATAACAAAACTAAATTGTTCAATCGGCAATACCATTTGTTGTATTAACAAAGCTTTAATCCGTCTCATACGATTTGTTCAGTTTCTTCGCCTTGTAAAATAATCGATAGCAGATTTCCGTAGGCCATAGCACCAGTTTCATTTTCAATAAAATCTGTGGAACATGCAGTTTCTGAATCAAATTCTTTGACCTGAAACCAAAAAATTATTTTGATTTGAAATTTGTTGTTAAATAATGTTTAATATACATTTTGTATTTTTTAAGGTGAGGTTAGGTTTAATAGTAACCGAGTATAACTTACCGATAAACGATGAAATTGTCTCTTCATCTATTCACCACACTTGCAATAGATTTCTAACTTTAACTGGATTCATTCACAGCCACACAAAAAAAAAGTTTTGATCTGGGGGTTTGACTAGGCTTACTTTATGTTTTTTGGGTCACTGAATCCGAATTCGAGGTCCGTTTTACCCCACCAGATCAGGATTTTGAGATAACTTCAAAAAACCAATATGTCGGACACTTTTTCGAAAAATTCATCGGATTTGTCTGAAACTCTTTATTCGGAGGTTTTTGGGGTCGCTGATCACGAATCTGATGTCAGTTTTCAAAATTTCAAAATGGCAGATCCAAAACGGCTAACACATTTTCGAAAAATTCATCGGAATCGCATGAAACTCGTTACTCGGGGGTTTTCGGAGTCGCTGATTACGAATTTGAACTTTGTTTTCAAAAATTCAACATGGCGGACACTTTTTCGAAAAATTCATCAGAATCGCATGAAACTCGTTACTCGGGGGTTTTCGCGAAAATCCTGTTTCTATAAAAATTTCAAGAATTTTTCCTTGCAAAGATAAATTTAGGGAAAAAAATAATAATCCTTTTTGTTAAAATCGACTATTATTCTGTTCCGTAAATTTTTTTTGCATGGATAAATGCTGAAAGTTTGAATGCAGGTGTAATTGGATGACAAAAATCACACCAAATAAGTTTTGAGAATACAAGAATTTCTTTTACAATTCTTTTTCAATCGCGAAAAAAACGATAAAAGCAAAAAATAATAATTTTGTTTCCTAAATTTATTTTTGTAAGGAAAAATTTTGTGAATTTTTATACAACAATATTCGTCGAAAGAAATCACGCCAAACCATTGTTGAGTAATCAAGACATTTTTATTTCTATTTGTTTCAATCGCAAATTCAACGAAATATCCAAAAATTTCGATTTTGACATAGAAAATGATAATTTGTGATACAATTATTTATTTTTGCCAGGAAAAATTCTTCAAATTTTTATAGAAAGAGGATACGATGTTTGGAATCACACTAAACAATTATTGAGTTATCAAGAATTGTTCTCTAATTTTTATCTATCCAGAGGTGATTGAAAAACGCGAAAATAATCGATTTTGCCGAAAAATGATTATTTTGTTCCGTAATTTTTTTCAAGAAAAGTTCTGCAAACTTTAATCCATGTATAATTACATGACAAAAATGACAAAGCCGTTTTTTGCATCTTCTTCAAAACAATTAAATTAAATAATCATGCTTATAATAAATTAAGTAATTATTATTGAAATTTATTGTTAAGTAGTTTCAAATAATTAGAAAAAAATCACGTAAATTGATGGTGTAATAACGAAAATGTTTACAAATAAACGTTACATTAGCGGCTTCGCCCCACTCTCCCCTAAATACTAAACTATTGTTTTATTATAATTAATGTACATAATTAACGGTTCAGGTGTTTATTCACAGTGTGCACACTTGTCTTAAAAACGTGAATAATACGTCTGAGGTAAGTCCAAAAAAGGTTGTATGTCTGTTCATAAATATGTCTTTATCATGTCTAAAAGTCGTCTATTTAAATAGACGACTAATTAGATTTTGAAAATAGAAAAATTGTCATAAAAATAACTTTTGAGGCATTCTTTGTCAACGTGGACACCCCTCTCTCGCCCAAATTCTTTTCATTTTAAATTCATGTTTAATGGCTTAAATTTTAGTTAAACGAATATACTTTTAAAATCTGAGTGGCATATTTCCAAATACAAAGGGCTAAAAAGGCCTCAAACATTACTTTTTGGATTGTTCAAAATGAATTAGAGTAACTTTTTATTGGTAAATTTAAAGAATAACCTTTATATTGGATCCTATATTTTGTCTTTGGATATATGCCACTCAGATTTCAAAAGTATATTCCTTTAACTAAAATTTAAGCCATTAAACATGAATTTAAAATGAAAAGAATATGGGCGAGAGGGGTGTCCGCGTTGACAAAGAATGCCTCTTTTATATTTTATTTTCTAAGTTCAACGTAAATATCGAAACTGTTTATGATAAATGTTACAGAAATTTTTTAAGTTCGATTCATTTCATGGACAAATAAGTTAGTAAACTTTGTAAAGGATTTTATCTGTCTCCCATGGCTTTAAAAAAAGACGCTAAAGGCGTGGAGTTTTTATTTTTAAATTTTAAAATTCTAAAGACGTTTAAAAGACGTCATTCCGAATGTCTTTTAGACGTCCTTTTAGGATGTCTTTTAGACGTCTTCTGGACAGACATAGAACGTCTTAAAGAACTCCTTTGTATGTCTGTATGATGTCTTCGAGACATTGCCATCAAAGTCCCAGGATGTCCGCGGACAAAAAAAGACGTCTTCAAGACGTCCTGATGCCCATTATATATTATAACTACTTATATTTATGTTTCCTAAATCTGAATAAGTACCATTTTTATAACCTCTTACCAGCTTGGTGTTTCACCCGACTTATCGCGTCTCAATCCGGACACCAATAGTGTTAATATGTCCCATCACGTTACCTGCCTAATTATGTTCTGCACTACAGGCAATGATATTGACCTTTATGAAATAAAATAATTTCTGAAGAGCGGCCCCATAATTTTTGGTTGGATAAGAAACATTAATGATACCTATATTTTTTGATACATAGTTCCTGATGTCACTAATAAGAGCTCTAAACGATTTTTCAAAATTCAATTTTTATAAAAACTTATAAACAAACTTTTTTGCAACGTTTTAGAAAATATTTAATATCTTGGAATTGTCCAATCCGATTTAAATAAAATTTGACTTGAAGAGTTATTATGAAATGTACTTTCGATAAATATGTAGAATATAAATAAAAAGTGTAATTTGATTAAACAAATTATATTTTTAATTCTTAATGTTATAAATAAACAAATGTTCTTACTTAGTCGATTCTGACAATTATTTTATAGAATTATAAAGAGAGACTTTTTAAAAGAAAAAATAAGATTCTCTAAAGCTTTATGTTACGTCAATACTGTCCATTCTATATACTATTTCTGGTAGAAAGGTGTCTAATTGACATAATCATATCATTCGTTAAACTTGGTGACCAATCCATCCACTTCCTCCTTTCATCAATATCTTCAATGATTTCAATGTTCGATTTTTTACAACAATCTGTCATAATCAGGTGATAAACGTACTCAGTCAAAATTGAAAGTATTGCAATTAAAAAACCTGAGCCTAGAATTAAAAACATTCCTTGTGTATCATCCAAGGCCAATTCTTTTTCTTCGATTGGTATAGAATATGTAAATCCTTTGATAACCTGAAATGTGAATAATAGAAATTTTTTCTGATTGAGAAAAATTCTTTTAAATCAATTAATATAAAATATAGTCACCCGGTAAGAAGCGAGGAATAGAGAAAGATAGATATTTTGCATTATTCAGCATAAGTTGATCATTTTCAATTATTCCGAATAGGCGAATTTACGTTTTTATCCAATTCCACAGTGAACATCTAAATATCCAAAAAATGAAATCTTTTCTATTCCCAGTACAGATAAGTCAATAGAAAAGAATTCAAACTTCTTATTTTTCTTCATATTTCAATATTTAAAATGTCTATTCCTTTTAATCGCCAGCTTCAAAATTTCCAAAGCGTATTAAAATTTAAAAGGAATAAGAAATTTGAAAAGTGATGTAATTATGTGGATATTTCTATAAATTGACTATATGTCAGGCCATTTAGAGCGCATTTAGAGGAATAGAAAATGTGGAGAATAAATGAGGGATTTGTATGTTTTACAATTGACTGTGTCAAGTTGTTAAGAGGAATATATATAATTTAGAGTATAAATTTTTGCCAAGTCAATTAAGAAGAATATATTTCTCTACTTTTTTTGCTTCATCGAGGAATTGAATAAAAGCGTAAATTACCCCATTCAAAAGAATTAGAACTCTAAATTCTTTTCAATTATTCGCTTCTTACCGGGCAGAGAAATTTACTTATATATTTACAAAAATTATTATACTTTGGTAAATATGTTTTATTTTTTGATATACAATATCTTCGCTTACGTTAATCAATTGTTTCCCTGCTGAAAATCCCTACATGGGAATCTACAAAACCCTTATGAAATCCCTGGTCAACATAGGAATCCACATGAGAAATGAAACACGATTTCACGTGCATTCTTACATATGATTTCATATGGATTTGAACATATGGTTTTATATGGGAATCCATATGGTTTCCTTTATGGAAGTGGGCTTTAACATGGTTCTTGACATAGGGTCCCATGTAGATTCCCATGTAGGGATTTTCAATAGGGTTTGTTGTTTATCCATTGCAATTTTTTTAAAAAACTAATATATTTTTCTAAATTCGGTGGATTTGCTTGAAACACGTTACTTGGAGGTTTTTCGGGTCGCTGAGTACGAATCTGATGTTAGTTTTTTAAAATTCAAAATGGCAGGTCCAATATGGCGGAAGATTTTTTAAAAATTCATCGGATTCGATTGAAACTTATTTCTCAACAGTTTTTGAGGTCGCTGATTACGAATTTGTTGTTAGTTTTTCAAAATTCAAAACAGCGTATCCAATATGGCGGACATATCTTTCTAAATGCGGCAGTTTTTGCTTGAAAATTAAAAACAGTGGATGAAATATGGCGACAATCAATAATGTAAATATTAAATAACAAAAATAACTATAAAATTCAACACCCGCAATTAGCTAGTAAATCTTTAACAGTTATCTACAACCCCAAAGTGTACCACGTTGATTTGTGCGGCATGATTTTACACTCCTCATTTTTTTTTACTTTTTTTGGTTTTTATTTTTTTTAAACAGAAATGTTAAGAAAAGAAAATAATCTGATCAACATTAATTTTGTCGTCCGCCATTTTGAATTTTGCAAAACTAACATTAGATTCGAATTCAGCGGCCCCGAAAACCCCCGAATAACAAGTTTCAAGCGAATCCGATCAGCTTTAATTTTGTCGTCTGCCATATTGAATCTGCCATTTTGAATTTTTAAAATCTAACTTCATATTCGTAATCAGCGACCTCGAAAACATTTTGATATAATTGTGTGAGATATTAGTTTGATAAGATAATGTATGCTGCCTGAGATTTAATGTAATAAAAGTATCCTTCAAAATAGTCTACTTTTGAGCAGCCATATTGGATTTTGGTTTTTGAATTTATAAAATTTGACTTTAAATTCGGATTCAGCGTCGAAAATACCATAAATAACGTATGGGTGATGTAAATCTACTTGTTTTTTGTGCCTTTTATCATTTTTTTGTATATACGTCTATACGCGTCCCTTACACTGGAAGCCCTCTTTAGAATGTACGTCTATAGACGTACCCTCACACTCAAAGGGTTAATTACTTTTTAACTACCCTGTATAATTCAAAAATCCCATAATTAAATTTAAAAATTGTACTAATTACTATCAGAATGTAGTTAAATTATCATTAATCTGACGACTTTGACAAGTTGGTTTGTTAATATGTAAATTTATTATTTATACAAAATGAAGTGAGTGTCAAAAGAAAGCAATTTTTATAATTAATAACATTTTACAGCCATTATGGCTGAATTCCCATCCTGGTTTCGTTTATTTACAAAATTTATTTAAATGTATTATTTTCAGGTCATTTGAACGCGTCAAATGCCGCATTACAATACATACAGACAAACATTTTCGTAGAGGGGCATTCTACGTGAAGCGGAAAACCCCGATCTTAATTTTTTTTCAATATTACATTTAAATATTACAATTTTATTAAAAATCCATTAAACAGAGAAAAGTAGATGTGGATTTTGTAGTAAATTTAATATCGTTTGATATATGGGGTCTGGCTTTTAAAATCGTTACTAAGAAATTAGTAACGAAGCAAAAGACCCCTGTCCTGGACAATCCCGATTGAGTCAGAAATGTAATAAAAGCCCTGTTTCCTCCTGCAGAGCCATGGCTTAGGAACGACTGGAGTTCTTGCGAAGTCAAAGAGGAGAAACTCTTTACTCTTGAAGAATTAGAAGCAGCAGGCAAAAGATTGAAGACAGGCAAGGCACCTGGAATCGATGGGATAAGCAAGAAGATCCTAAAAGAGGTGATTGTTGCTTCCCCCCTGATTTTGTTAGACATATTCAATCTCTGCCTAGAGAGAGGAGAGATCTTTCCAGACTGAAAAGGCTAACGGTGGTCCTCCTAAGAAAGGGTGACAAACCTCTAGATAAGGTCTCATCCTACTGCCATAAAGGCCCAGATAAGAAGAAGAGCTTCTGCGCGTTGGTAGCAATAGACATACGGAACGCGTTCAATTCCGCGAGATGGGAAGATCTCATCGAGTCGATGATACAGAATGATATACCGCCCTAGCTGTTTGGGTATAATGGATAATTATCTTAGCGACAGGTGGGTTATTTACGATGGAGACACCTGCATTCTCAAAGAAGAGATGCAGCGTGGGGCACCTCAAGGGTAGGGTAGGACCATTTTTATGAAATGTATCGTACGATGATTTACTGAGAATGGAACGAATGTCTGCGGCTAGCAAAATGCTGGCTGGAATCCAGAGAACGAAAAGATATTCTACCATCCGCAGTAAGATGCTGTCCGTGAAGAGATGCATTACTTCGCGTATCGTCTCTGCATATTGGACAGTATCTACGAGCGCTGTGCAGGTCCTTGCAAGTGTCCCGCCAGCAGATCTTTTGGCGCTTGAGAGGGAGGAAGTTATCCTTCTTCTCAAAGAGGCGAATTCCTCAGAAGAGGAAGGTAGACCCAGCAAGGACCGCATCCGCTTCGAAGCAAGGCACAGGCTCGTCGAAAAATGGCAGGAAAGATGGGATGGGGAGGTAAAAGGTCGATTGACTTATACCGACACTCGCCACCTGGTTAAATAGGAACCATGGTGAGGTGTCCTACTACCTGATGCAAGCGCTGACAGGTCACGGGTGTTTTAACTCGTACCTGCAGCTCTTTAAGAAAAGGGATAGTGAGGAGTGTGCTTACTGCCAGTTCCCTATAAACAACGCAGAGCACACCCTCTTTGCCTGCAGTAGATGGGACTTGGAGAGACAGGCCATGTTCACCGCTGTAAACGCTACAGTTACACCGGAGAACATGGTAGCGCTGATGATCCAGTGCCTGGAAAACTGACGGCTCATCGAGACCTATATCATCTCTGTTATGATGAGAAAGGATCTCGATGGCCGCAGAAAGGCGTAATTCACAGTCTCCAGTTATTATTTCTTTATATTATTTATTCTATTTATTTGTTTATTATATTATTTATTTTTTATTTTTACAATATTATGTTTATTTTATGTTTTATTTTATTTATTGACTTTTAATTGTTTTTTATTTTTGGTGTGCTGTTAATTCCGCTTTGACATTGAAAATTTTATTATTTTAAATTTATAACGCAGGATGTCCGCAGGACTGAACGAAGTCGGTTTGTGACAGTGTGGGAGCGCTACCCTCGAAGGCAAAAGTCTTCCAAAAATTTCCGAGGGTGGATGAAGGGCTTCTAAAAAAAGGGGTTATTTTGTTTATTGTTCCCTTTTTTACCAACCCCACATAATATTGGCATGCGGAAGCCAAGGTATCTGTATACTGATTTCCCAAAAGTCCCTAAGCAAAAAAACAAAATATCGTTTGATATTATAGTATCAATTTTGAAGATTAACGGGTTAGTACCACATCTTTTTTCAGAAACATTAATTTTCTAAAATCTGCATATTCTTGTAGTAGATATATGTAGAAATGCTATAGAAAATATTATTTTGGTTGGAAACTTCGGTAACATATCGAAAACCGGGGTACAATGTAAAAGGCACGCGCTCATGAAGCGTACTTTTCGCGAGTAAAATTTATGCTTTTACATATATATATATATATTTCTATATTATAAAAAGATTGAGCCGCAGCCGCCGCCGTTGTTTCAGAAATTTTGACAAGGATGGGTCATTTCATGTCAGTGTTGCCAAGTTAGTGGTTTTCCCACTAAATTTAGTAAGATTTTGGTCCTTCAGTAACATTTTTAGTGAGAGAAGTATTTTAGTAGGAAATTTAGTATCTTTTTTATCTTTTGTGGTTTTTTTAGAGTTTTTACCTAAATGTCATTTTTTCTACGTAAATTGTATCTGAAGCATTAAAAGTGTTGTCACTAAGTTTAAACTATTCAAGTCAATTTGATTGGTTATACTGATGAAGATTGAGCAAATGTTCAGACTGGGCCAATCAAAATTAGTCACACAGTTCTATAAGAAAGGATGCTCTTCTACGTGCCAAACCTTGCACTGCTG